AATTTCTTCATTTTAATATTGCTGCAGTAGCTTACGGTGGTTATGAGTGGTGATTATTATTATTTCTATTACATCTAGTGGCGTCGGGTTCGAATGCAGAGATGTGCACTCCTGCCTTGCTGATGTCGTTTCAGATAAATAGTTAGGAAAGAATTAATAATGATGATGATGATGACGACGATGATGGCGAATTAAATTAATATAATAAAACTAATTTTGTTATGTTAAGATGATGACTGTTTTATATTATGACAGATTAATAATTATTTTTATAATTTATATATATATAACGTGTGCATTTATGTATATAATAACGCTAAATAAAAAATAATGTAAGAATATCATAAAAATCTTTTTGATCACTGCGTTCTATTATTATTATTGTTGTTGTTGTTATAAAATTCCGACGGTCGTCACTACTGACGCCAATGTTGTAGCTTGCACTTTCGTCAAGTTCTCGTTATTCCACAGGTTCAAGATTTCTGATACTGCTTCAAACGCAAACTTATTTAAACGTTTATTCGAATGCTAACAGTGATTGAAACTCTAAATTATTCACTAATCCAAGTAACTACGTAAATCATTGCTACATCCTCGCTGCTAACCTCGTGTCTGAATCCGGGGTTCAACCAGATTCCAAAGAAATTCATGCAAGTACTTTTCTTAGAATGCTTGCTGTGCCCAGTAATGAAATTTTCTGAACCTCAGTCAGCGCTGTGCCACATTTTTTCAATTTCAAGATCTTTATATTTACAAATTTTTTCAGACTCTTTTAACATAACATTCAGTTCATCAAGTACAGATACATTTATCATTAGACACATTTTTCTTGTTTATCATGGGTTACTATATCCGGTCCGTTGGCTGATATGTTTCAGTCGGTGATTATTGTAGTGTTTCAGAAGATTTTCCATCCTTTTATTTTCGCGTTCAACTGTTTCTATAAAAGAAATCTTATTTTTTGTTGTATTCTCTCTAATCTAATCTTTCATCATTCGTTGTTGAATTTCTCCTGCCTCTTCCATTCCCAAGTATTTGTATGTCTCTTCCTTAGCACGACCTCTCATTTGTGTATCCTGATCTAAAATTGTACCATCGTTTCGTATCGCCACTTCTTTTCTAATTTTCGAAGTATCGCATTTATCTATCTCAGGCATCATTTTTATGTTTCGACTGAACTGTTATCAACTTTTTTCAGTTGATCTTTATCTGGCATAAATAATTTCATTTTATCCATATCCATTAAAAGAATACCTCTGTGGCTGTACAGACGCAATCTGGTTCTCCGAATTGGCATGGAATCCTCAATGAAATTTTTAATATTAATTGTCAATTTATGCATGCTTATTACTTCTAATATCCATGAGGGAGTAACATTGTCAAATGCTTTTTGATAGCCCATGCCATACTTAGGTTCTTTTTTATTAGTAGTAAATATAGTTTTAAAACTTAATAAAAACACTAATAATAAAAATACGGCGATTTGTATAGCGCCAC